ATAGTTTTTTGTATTGAATATAGGTCACCTGGGTTTCCCATGTGATACGCCATTTATAGGTTTCTTTGCACTGTTGGCACCCAACGCTACTGTTTGTTTCTCTCTCGTTGTGTTGTTGCTGTTCATTTTGTATCTGTGCCTCAACATGCAAATGAGAAATAAATAAGAGTTCATTATATTCAAGCCAAGTCATTCATCCACTTGCATACTTTTTCTAATGGTTACCACTTAACTGCTTGCTGTGCCGCACTGACCGGACCGGGCCGAGCCGCTCAAGTATTTCCTGTCATTTGCCATTTGGCGGCTGTCTTCATCACTAGTTTTTGTGCTCTTCGCTGTTTATTGTTTATATTTGTCATTTTAATTATTTCAGTTTGTAACGGTGCTAGTTGTTTCTAGTTTTTGTCTACTAAAACTTATCTTCATTTTTTTTAATTAATGTTTATTTAAAATTAGTAATCATCTGCTTGTTTCTCAGCTCACTGTTTTTTTTTTTTTAATAATATTTTATTTTCATAATTTGAATTTTAAAAGTTACTTGACCTTTTGCCTTATTTAGCCTCTCGATTATTCCGTTCTTGTGCTGATGATGCTGTTGAAGATGTTGAAGCTGTTAAAGCTGCTTTACATGTTGCATTGCGCTTTGTTTAAATTCAATTGAACTTTATTAACTTTTAAGTTCTTGTAGACAGACAAATGGACGGGCATACATAGCTTTCTTTCTTCTCATTCGCTTACTTTGCATAATTTAGTTTCTCTACGTTTCTACCAGCTTCTCCCCAACGCTTTTTATTACATTCGTAAGTATTTTCCTCTATATTATCTGATCTTGTAAAAATTTAGCTAGTTGATCTTAATGGTGCCCCTTCTACAGTTCTACAGTTCTACAGTTCATCTGCGTTATTGTTTTTTTCTTGTTCTTTATGTTGGTTTCATGCAACTCTTGATGAGCTCTGAAATGCATCATTTAACACACGATGCAACATTTTTTCATAATCGAAAGGGTGCTTGCTCCATGTGAATTGATGCTTTAATCTTCATCGTAGCAGTTACAGAATTATTGTTGTTTTCCGCTGCAAGACTTGTTTGTTTACGCATGAGGGTCGAGAGGTCAATATACTTATTAGGAAAACAAGAGGTGCTAACATAAGAGCAGAGTAATTGTTTTATACGAACAGATAATTGAAGACCCTTAGAGTTAATATCAAGGAAATTATTTTATTGCACTTCTCAAGAGATTTGTTAAACATACAACAATGTATGTATTTACAGCTCAACGCACGTTGCTGATTGTCTGAAGTTGCATGCATTAAATATAATATATCCGGTTAAAGTGAGAGCAAATAAAATCAATAATTGTAGTAAATAAATAAATTACTAATAAAAAATACAATCAAATCAATATAATAGAATATATCTACTATAGACATTTTAATAACTAAATTAAATTTTTTAATGGAAAAGTTTTTTTTTGTCTAAAATCTAGTTTATATGGATATCTACATATATATATGGATATATATATTACTATTAACTATTTTCTTATATATACCATACTACAAAACAAAAAAAAACTACTTAACATTTAAAACAATGTTTAGCAGTTTATAAGAAATTATACAAATATAAGTAGAAATAATTGTTTGTAAAAATGTCCCTAAATGATAATTAATGTTACCTAAAATCTTAAATTATTAATGATATGAATGTTTAATTTTATTTTCTAAGTATTTTTATAACTCAATTTATGATTTATATGTGTTGACATTTCGTGTTAATTAAACACAACCTGTTTATTAGTTCCTAATTTATTTATTTGATATAATGATTCTTTATATATATATATCACAGTGCAAAAATTATATCACAGTCATTATAAGAAATGATTCCAAAACAAGAAAAACGTAATACTTTAAAGCAACGTCTGTTAAGACATTAGAAGTAAATATATATTACTTCATACAATACATTAATAAAATATATATTCATTAAATCATTAAATATAAATTAACAAAAGTTCAATCAAACTAGATAAAAAAGAATAAAAAAGAATTCTCTCAAATTAATTGAAAGAGATTATAGCGTACAATAAACCAAACTTTACCATAATATCAAATAAAGATTGTATCGTTAAAGGTAACTATTTTATCTTACTATTAACTATTTTCTTATTTGTTTGCTGACTATTTTTTCTTATTTATATTACTTTTTTTATTCTTATTCAATTATTTATTCAATTATTTTATAATTGTTTTTATTTTGTGTTCTATTTTTTCTTTATTTCAACACATTAAAATATTTTGTTGAAATCACTTCCAACCTCTCACAACATCGCCTTCATTTCTTTTATAGTGTCTTTGTTTTTCTCATTCTCTGTCATTCCTACCCTGGTCTTTCCCTCTATTCTACTCCGTTCTTTTCCACTTCCTATCTGTACTTCTAACTCCGTTATTTCCCTATTCCTCTTTCTCTTTCTTACCCTGTTCTTTCTCATTTAACTCTCTCTTTCTAACAACGTTCTTTCCCTCATCCTCTTTCTCACTTTTCTCGCGCTATTATTTCTCTTTCTTTCTCTTTCAGTCTCTGTCTTTCTCAATCTCGTTCTCTCTCTCTTTTTTTCTCTCGCTCTTTCTCTGTCTCTTTGTATCTTTCCCTTTCTTTTCATCTTTGTCTCTCCTTATCTTTTTCCGTCTCTTTGTATCTTTTCCTCTCTTCCCCTCTTTCTCTCTCCATTTTCTCTTACTTACTATATTCTCGATTTTTCTTTTCTAATTGTTGCACTATTTACGATATTCTCTTGATGTCTCTCTCCAGTCCGGCTGTTTCAATCTCAGCGTTTTTGCATTTCTCTCTTAACCACTTCACTCTTGGGTTCTCCATATTTTTGTCTTCACATTTTCGCTTTTTTATCTCTCTCCTTATTAACTCTCTCTATCTTCCTCTCATCTTCTCTCTTTTTCTTCCTTTTATTTTCCCACCTTCTCTCCTTGCCTCCTCACTCCGCTACTCTCTTTCTTTGTGTTAGCACAATTTTTTATTTTTATTTACTTACTATGTTTATCTCTATTCCCTTTTCGCTCTGTTATTTATCGATCGATCTTTCTCTCCAAAATCTGTCTTCATTAAATAAATGATGAACTTTAAAATTAGTATTTAACTTCTGTTGTTTCCATCCGAAATTTGCACATAATAAATTCAATAATAAATAAATGAAAACCTTTGAAAATAGGTGTGCAAGTGTGCCAATACAATTAAAAAATTAATCATTTATCTCTTAAAAATAAGATTTTATTTTAAAAATTCTGTTAAACAATCTATATAAAAATATTATTGTTATATATAAAATATCGAAATAAATTCGAAATTATATATTATTTTCCATATACAATTTTTTATGCGTGCAATAGTTATTAACCACCTTGACCTTGCCACATGTAAATAAAGTGCATAAATTTTCCTTTTTGGCTGCACCATGAAAAGTTATTAGAGCGTGTATTTCCGACCGAAAAGTAAACACATTTATAGTAACAGATGTGTGTACCTGTAATTACTTTCAGTACGTTTTAGTCGTGTTAAATTAACCAAAACTGTGTGCGTACTAAACTTGACCTTTTAAATATTCAAATAAAATATTAAAATAACGTATCTAGATATTTATTTCGCTTGGATTTAAATTCAATTTCATTGCAAATACCTTGTGCTATAATATATTACTGTCAAAATGTATGGAACTTGTTTATTTTTATAGTAACATACATAGCATTAGTCTATTAAATATTTAAACCTTCTTAGTAAAGCACTTAATTTGAAACTCCGTTCTTATGGCATTTATTGATTGATATCTTGCAGTTAACTGCACTCACTCGTGTATCTATATATATTACTACGCTTTTAAGCGTTTTATCTACACAGTTGTATGAAAATTTAACTCCTACTTCACGGTATAATGGCTATGTTCATTAGACTGGCCATAAGTTGTATGGGAAAAATTTTTTTTTTGATTTTTATATGTTTCTGCTTGTTAAAATATTCCTTTTGATGATAAATTAAGGAAAATAAAATTTCAGATCGATCGCATTGTGCCAACCCGTGCCGAGTTGAGCTCAAAGTTGTAAAAGTACCTCAATATAGAAAAAGTCATCAAAATTACTACTTTGCTCGTAAAATATATTACTAACAGTTTTATTTCAGGAATATTTTTGACTAATTTACATTATTTATATGTTTTCACCTAATTATACTCTATTTTGTTTGTTTTACTGTTATAGTTTTTAAAATTTTTCATGTTTTCGGCTTAGTAGTGACGATTTAGTATGAGATGGATACATGTGTCGATAATATTCAACAACTTGCTATAAATACTGTTTGTCTTTTTCGTCATATGTTAAGGCTCGGTTGAAGTCAGTGATTAACTTAACAGCTCTTTCTGCTGGATCGTTTACAACTGTCAGGTTTTTACAAATTTGCAGGCCAGAAGAATAATCACCTCTTTCACCCCATGATGACGGATCGTACTTTAAAAAATCGGAGCTAATTTCCAATCGAAGAAAAAATCGTTTCGTCTTACAAGTAACAAGATAGCTGAGATCCTTATCTTCGAGCTTCATTATGTCTTCGATTGTCGTTTCGAATTTTTGAACATGGAATATCGTCATCTTTAGTTTTTTCCAAAGCCTTAATCATCTTTCCTTTAGTATCCAGTGGAACTTTAGAGTCGAAAAATGCTGAGCCAACTGCTTCTTCTGACAAATACCACAAGTGATTTTTGAATTTTTCTAATAAAACCGCTGAAATTCGTTTATCAAAATACTGGATTGCATCTTTAATTAGTTGTAAATCCCTACGTGGCGCTTCAATTGCGTGCTGGCATGTTAACCAATACTGTATGTAATAGCGAGTTAGAAAAATACAAATATTGCGTATGGCGTTTAATTCTTTTGCCGTCAGCAAAACGCTTAAAAATTTAAATTTCTGGAGCCGATGAGGTACCAAAATTCAGTTCAAAAACAGCTTTTAGAAATATTTCGTTGATATGATGGCAGCATGGAGAAAAAGTAATTCACGCCCCAATTTCTGCTCGAGCAAAAAGGCGGCACCCTTTTGAATACCAGTATTAGAACTTGTTGTATCAAGGCAAATAAATTCAACTAAGTTGTTTAATTCCCAAGTAATTAAAAATTGATGAATTGCATGTGCGATTTTGTTACCAGTGCTGTTATCTAGTTTCGAAATACCAAGTATATTTTCGGTTTTTTCTCCTGTGACGACAAGAGCAAGTCGATCAACCTTTTTTTTACCCTTCATTTTTGGTAGAAGTTTTCCATCCCAATGGAATACAAAAACTTGAGGGATCTGCAATTAAATATCTTAAATAAAACTTAAAAAGTAAAAACTTTAACTAATTTACATCGAAATTCTTCAAAATATCATGCGCTTTTCTGCGTCGGTATTCTTTTCTTATCAGGTGGACAGTTGTACGATTCAAAACAAGATCTTCTACGCGATGACCTAAAGCAGCTGCTGTTGCACTTATGAAATGAATCGCATCTCTAGTAGAAATTTTAGATTTATCCATGCAAGCAAGCATTCTATCATCAAAGAAATGTATTTTTCCAATTATAATATTTTCTTCTATTGCTACTTCCGAGGACGATGGATATTCCATAAAATCTTCACTATTATTGCTATGCTCAATATCGAGTCTAGAATCTGTCGCTGCTATTCGAAAAATATACTTTCATGTATGATTATTGGAAACAAATAAAGAGACTGCTATGCTTCCTTGTCGGTCTTTCTTTCTTTGTTGAATCAAGAAATCTTTATCTTCTTGGATATTCATTGTTTTAACAGCAGTAGGTACTGCGATATCGAATATAAAATGTTCTATCTTTTCACGGAACTCTTTTTCTCTGATTCGGCATTCTTCGTGTGGAGATTTACTACTTTTTTGTAATAACCTCCACTCATCGTACAATTTTTGTAATTTTTTTTGGCAATTAGATTCAGTTAGAGTAGGAATACGAGCCTTTTGCCAAAATGGTAATACGGAATCAATCACATTTCTAAAACTTCGTTTCAAGGTCTTGTGTTCAACACGAATTTTATAGAAAAGCAGTTGAAGTAACATACTTACTTCATTGACGGCAAGTTTGCTCCAAAGATTTCGCTTTCACATTTTCCTATTAAAAATACCATATATTATCATCATCGGATCTAAGCCGCTTTAGAGATGATTTTGATTGCAAAGATGAAACGGAATCCATATCAATTCAGATTAATTTTTGCAACGTAAATGATCAATTATCGTTAAAGATTTTTCTCATTGTCAATTTGACAGTCAATAAACAACTATAACAGCAATGTTACTACTCAGCTTTCGTAATACGAAATTCATGTCAGTGTTGCAATTTTTACTTCGTATCAAAAATTATGTAGGAAATATAAACAGACGTAAGTGAATTCAATATCATAACGTAAAAACATTTAAATAATGTAAATTAGTCAAAAATATTCCTGAAATAAAACTTAGTAATATATTTTACGAGCAAAGTAGTAATTTTGATGACTTTTTCTATATTGAGGTACTTTTACAACTTTGAGCTCAACTCGGCACGGGTTGGCACAATGCGATCGATCTGAAATTTTATTTTCCTTAATTTATCATCAAAAGGAATATTTTAACAAGCAGAAACATATGAAAATCAAAAAAAAATTTTTTGCGGCCACTCTAATGTTCATATATATCAAAATATACTCCAGTATAAAATTCGTATTTCTGTGGAAAACTGTAGTGTTTTTCCAACAACTTTACTGCATTGCGTAGCATAAATTTTTAATGAATTTATTAATGTTACATTTCCACATTTCCATGTATCTTTTCTGCTGTTGGTGTTACTGTTACGACTATTCTAGTTGCTGTTTCTACATGAAGTGACTGGAATTTTGCTGATTTTAAAGTCTACTACATGCGGCGCACAGCAGTGTTTTCCACACTATAAGTATAAACGATCCACTTCATACTAATTTACTACTCCGTGCAACTTTAACAGCTTTTACATGTTTGTTTGCCAAGCATTTGTTGTTTGATGTATTCATTCCCCCATTATGCCACTCCTGCTAGGAGTTATGGAATAATTTCAGACAGCAGTTGTGGCACTGCATGCAAATGCAACAGGGTTGCGCCTGCCACACTTTTCACTCTTATTGTTTTTGTTACATTGTTGTTGTTGTTGTTGTTGCTGCTTTTGCTAGTGGATATTGTTTGCTCAATTAAAACAAAATTGACTTAAAATATTTATGCCCTTCATTAACTCTATAAAATTTAAATTGCAAAACGTTTATATATCTCTTAATACATACACATAAGTACGAGTATATATATGTCAATAGCAAATATATTGAAATGGATAGGCAAACGTATTGCATTTAATGAAATCTGTTTAAGTAAATTAACATTTTTCTGTCTTCAATGTAAACTACCTTTACACTCATTTATACAAAGATATAAATTCATTCAATATAAATTAATTTATATGTAAATATAATTACATTAAGTGTTTAATTACTGTTTATATAATTCTTTATATTCGATCTTTGTTATAGCTTAGAGTCAAACTTTCCTTCAGCTTCAACCATGCCCCTTAGCCCCTACCGCCCTAGTTACATTATTTCTCTCCATAACGAATTAAATAAATTCTCATAATACCAACCGATTGGTTTACATCGGCTTCATACGCGTACTCTATATCACCGTTATTAACTTAATTCATAATCTACCAAATCCCACTAAACATGCAAAATTAATATGGTACCTATATGGAGTTTGGTTTTTGATTGTTGTACCTTTATTAACTATTACAGCCTTATACCCTATAATAACAATTTTTATTAAATAGAAATACAACATATATGTAATAGATTCAATATAGTTTTCCGTTTATTAATGGAATATTTATAATGTGTAACTGTTATATTAATTTTATTCCATTAGGAACATTTCATCCATCACATAAACACTAGATTCTTCTTCAGTTTTTGCCATAGTTTATTGAAAGTTTTGCACTATTTGCTGTAAATAGTTAAATTCCAGGTAACTTTCCTTTATCTTATCTGAAAAACGATATAAATTATTGTGTTACTTACTGCTATATTTCTCTCCTAGTAGAGCATAGGGCCTCAACTATAATGTTTTAGAAGTGGTAATTCGCAAAGATTATATATGTGTAGGGGTGGTCAATTATTTACCTAAATATAAGCAATAACTAGTAATGTCAAGATAATTCATAGTTTTATGAGTTCAAATAAATATTATATTTATATATATTTATAAAAAATATAATATATCTTATAATAAATATTTTAAAATTATACTTGTTGAAAAGATGATAAAATAAAAAAAGATAGTTTGTATGGAAGTAAATATTTGTAGCATTATTGTTACTCATAGTTTCATATTATTTTATTTTTTATTTTTTTTTCACTTTTTCACTTTACTTTTGTATCACTTTATCATCTTTCATATTAAATTAAATCATGTCGTTTTTAATAAAAAAAAACGTTTTCACTAAGTCGACTAAGATTTATTTGGTTGTCTGTCGAAAGAAGTAAATTTATATATATTTATACGCTAAAAACGTGTAGTTAATATATTTTTTTTCGTAATAACATATTCGTTATAGATAATATATCTATTTCTATCAACTGCAATAACGAAAGTACTTATGAATATTATTCCTCTTACATTTACTAATGTCTTAAAAGCAAAAATATAGCAAATGACAAAAATAATTTCACTTAATAGACTTTCCTATACGAATATTAATTGTTCTTTCTATAATTTGAAACTAATTTTCTGAACTTTACTAACCTTTGGTTATAAAGTAAAAAATTAACTGATAAATATTGTAGAAGAAATCTTTTTGTATTTATATTCTTTATATATCTTGTTCGGTCTAATCTATTTTCTTGTCAACTTTTTACTAGAATCTATTATTCATACATATTGTAAGTCCCGATTTATTTTACTAAGCCTCCGGATTTTTTGTAAATACTGAGTCTTTGAATATCTAGATTTGCGATTATTATTCGCAGTGAACTTCTTCGGAGACTTCTTGAGCAAAAGTTTAAGGAAGAGCAAGTGAAAATGAACGTGCAATATACAAATTTTTTAGAGATGATAAAATATGTTGTTGTTTGTACGATTTTTTGTATTTGGTATTTTACGCAAAAAACTATAATATATATATATATATAATAGAAAATTAATTATTAAATAAAATAATTGAAACTATATATATATCAATTAGTTATGCAAAAATCTATAAAGTTATCTAAACATATACATAAAAAGCATTATAATATTATAAAAATCATTCAATAAAGAGGATAATATATAATTAAAGATAATAAGACAATAAAAAGAACATAATAAAGACTATATTAATTATATATGTTAATTGTTTTATTTTCCTCTCCGATTAATCGGTTTCTTCTAATATTTCGTAAAACCGAATACAAAAAATTCTAGTTTCTACTTCTGCTTTAGTCTAACAGTGCAGCATATTCTAAAGAAAAAGTAGTTTACTTTCTTAATTTTCTATATTAATTGCACAATGTTTATCAGGGGGTTTATTTTTTGTAATTTCATGACCATTGGTCTGCTAATAAAAACATTTCATTACTAAAATGAAACTTCAATTGCAGAAAATACATTATTTTTTATATACTCGTATGTTGAACTTATAATACTTTCTAAAAAAACATATTTCAAAATTATATACTATTACTTTTTATAACATTTATATTGTTTCATTAAACTTTAGTCATTTTGAAGTACAAAAGCATGATCTGAAATGCAGATGCATGTATTTGTATCTGAACTTTAAATCTTATCTCTACTGTTCAATACCTAAAATAGCCATTGAAAAGTAATCGGAGTGTAGTAAGTTTTGACAGTGAAGTAATACAAAGAAAAAGAAAAAAAAACCTAGTGAATACCTCTGAGGCATAAAGCTAAATTATGCAAAATTGATACTAAAAGTAACTGAAAATCGAAAAAGTTGCTTGCTATGCTGTACAAAAATGAAATTCCAACTAATATTGTACAATTCGACCAATAATCATTATTAACTTTTAACAACTCCCATAGTGCACACAAGATGTGCACAATTGGAAGAAATGAAATTCGTGTTAAATTTCATTTGAAAATCTACACAAACGTAAAAAAAAACCAAAACCAAAATCAAAATCAACATTTTGCTTTTGAGTAGCAAATTAATGGGAATCTCAAAGAGCTGTTATAGGAGTCATTTCATTATTTTTAATGAACAAAGCGTAAAACCTAAAATCTCAATTAAAATGGCATAATTTGAAAGTTGCATAATAAACCAAACGAAGTAGTAAAACGACGTAATAGTTTAATATTTGCACATTAAATGTTGCATACAACTGCATTAGGCAAAGCAACCACTCGTAGTGCCACGCTCAATTTTAACAGCGATTGCAGCTATGAGAAAAGATACATAAGAAAGTTGCCAAGCGACATTAATAATAGAAATCGTTCAAGACAAAAGGAAATTGTATGCAATCGAGTTCGTGCGGGCAATTTAGGAAGGAAACTTCCATATTGCTGCTGTGGTTGTCTTAAAATTGGAGCAAATGGAAAATGTGGATCAATAGTGTTGCATATATACGCAAACTTGCACACCACCACGTATGAAATATATGTTATCCATTCATTTCATAGAAATTAAATATTAATA